CGCATATATGCGTTCTCTTTCTGTTCTTGATGGTGGATATGACTAGTTGCTCTCAGTTCTGGCCAGCCACCTTGCTTCCCTGCAATGACAGACCTGGAATTGAGGTCAAGTAGGTCCTGTCTTCCTTGAGTTACTTTTGTTACAGTATTAAAAGCAACAGGAAAGCAAACTAAGATCTGAGTGCTGACACCAAATTATTCTTTCACTTCATATTTATTTCATATTTTGAACAACAGTAAGGGTATAAGGGGTGGGCTTTATAAGTAACTTCAACATACTTGCACCATACATTAGAATTGGTCCCTTTTGTTGGTGGCACATGGGAGGGTACAGTTCAAGATCAACCTCAGCTTCATAAGGAATTTGAGGCAAACCTGGGCTATGTAGACCTTTTCTTGAAAATAACAAGCCGAAGCAGTTGACATTAAAATAAGTTATTCACTACAGAAGCACATAATTTGGAAACTATTGGCACGAATTCTATCATCAAAACCCAAATAATGCAGTCATCAGTGACAGAAGTCTTCCTGTGACCTTTTAGTAACCCCCTCTTACCCTACTCCCCAATCTTCAGAAAAACATTGATTGCTGCCAAGTAAGTTTGCATTTCCTAGAACGGAATGTCAGCGTATAACACTGGTTTCTATTGATATATTTGTAGTCAATCCACATCACTGAACATTAGGTTCTTCCCTTCACATAGCTGTATGGGTGGCAAATGCTCATTCGTTTCCCGGCTGCCCAGACTCAAAATAACCACACGAAAACTGTATTAATTAAAACACTGCTTGGCCAATTAGCTCATGCATATTTCTAGCTAACTCTTACATCTTGAATTAACCCATTTCTATTAATCTATATATCACCACAAGGCTCATAGTTTACCGTAAGGTTCTCTGGAGTCTGTTTCCTTGGGCAGCTACATGGCATCTCTGACTCTGCCTTCTTTTCTCCCCTATCTTCGCTTGGAACTCCTGCCTTGCTCTCTTCTGCCCTGCCATAGGCCCAAGCAGCTTCTTTATTCATTAGCTAATAAAAGCAACACATATACAGAAGGGCTTCCCACACCCATACTGGGTAGAGCTCCATTACCTATACGGTGATTTGTTTATTCCTTTATTTGTTGACAAGTATTTGAATGGCTTCCAGATTGTGGATATTACAATGGAGCTGTTGGGACCATTCCTGTGTGCAAGTTTTCTTAAAATGGCTAAGGGAGGTGACCTGTGGATGTGAGAAATTGTTAAGATGTTTACAAAAATGATTGCACCACGCTTCGAGTGGCAAAATCACAGTTGTTCCACTTCCTTACCAACCCAAGACCAAGCCTGATTTCTAGGTCTCGGTACTTAAATGAGCATGCAGTAGCGTCTCCTGGCTTGGTTTGCATTTCTCTGACGACTGAGATTACATAGCTCCTCCCATGGGCACATTTGCAGTCTTCCCATCATGACTGTCAAAGTGCCAATCTAAATCATTTGCCCACTTTGAGACTTGTGTGGAATGCAAGGACATGGCATTTTCCCATTATGCCTAGTGTTTTAAATCTCTTTCGGAGTATTTTTTGAAGAGTGTATCAATTGTTGCTCAAATTCAAGTTAACAATTCTTTCAAAAGTTTTGTTGACGTACTCAAAATTAGAAAAGCTCAAGACCTCTGCCTTATATTATCTTCTAGAACTATCTTTCAATTTAAAAATTATATAGTTGAATCTATTTTAGTTAACTTTTATATAGTACAAAGTATGTCTCACAATTTTTGTTCCAAATAGATATCCACTTATCCAACAAAAACAAAGTATAACCTTCTCTACTGATTTCTATTCTTATGTCAAAAATCAGTTGAGGATTATGTATGAAAAGGCAAGACAATGTAGAGGTTCCTTCATCTTGTATACTTTTGAGGTCATTTTAGACTTAACTAGAATTTGATTCACTTGATAGGAAGACCCACAGAAAATTACCCAACCCTGTTCGAGGAATCTGAGGTCAAGATGCTCCAGCTAACTTAGCTTCTGTTAAGCTGCCTGCTTGTGTAAAACCTCTCCTTCCAGCTGACAAGCAAGACCTCAGGATATAGTTTTTGCCTTTAAAAACTCATTAAACACCTAGTGCTAACTTAGGTCCCAAATACCAAGTGTAGTTCCAGCCAACTGCAATGAAGACTTATAATTGGCTATCAACTGTGTTATCTCTAGTGGACTCTCCCTGGCATATGTATGAGTGTGCGTACTGGCATGATAATCTACTTATGGACTTTACCATATTGGTGCGACTGTATGTATACTTATGGCTGGTTGTCTTTTAATAAGAAATTATAAAATATAAACACTAATGTGCTGTTTTTTTTCCAAGGTTGTTTGGTTACTCAAATGTTTTGTACTTCAAAATTTTGAGGGCAGTTTCACAGATACTATCTAACAAGATGGGTAACATTCTTATTGTCATTCTGTTGAACACATGTCAATGTGAGAACTGACATCACACAGTACGGAGACTTTCAACCCCTAATGCCACACACACTACTAAAATTTACTTTTCACTGGAGAATGCAGTGTGTAAATCTTTTATCAGATCCATCCCTCACTAGCTCACATTTTTATGCTATTCTAAGTGGCATGCAATTTTCTCATTAATTGCTGCTTACATAATGAGTTTTTTTGAATATTCACTTACATCTGAGTTTTAAATCAGGAGTGAATACTTTGTCAAACGTTGTTTCTGCACCTACTGAAAGAATGTTTGCTTTGTGATAGGCTGTTAGATTTCCTCATTATTCCAGATTGGCATTCTTGGAGAATCTCCTCTGGCCGTATCTTTTTTTTTTTTTTTAGACAGACTGCGAGATTTGGACTGCTAAAATGTGATGCGGAACTGCCTGAATTTATGTCAGGATGCTGTCTTCTTTGAGCAGCAGAGTGATGCTGGCCTTTGTGAGTTGGGCATCAAACCCAGGTTATCCAACACTGCAAGCACTTTTTCAGAATTGGGCGTTTTCTTTAAAGATATGAAAGAACTCATCAGTTTTCATACTTGGCATTTGTGTCAGAAATACTTGTAGGCAATTTCTTTTATTCCTGACATTGATCATTTATGCCTATTTTTTATCAGTTTTATTGATAAGAACTAGCTCTTTACTTCACCACCCCCCCCCCCCCACCACCACCACCACACACACATTGATTTTGTTTCCATTGCCATTCTTTTTTCTTTTTCTCATTTTGGGGCTCACATATTTTTCTACTTGCAGGTGGACACTGAGGTCACCTAGTGTAAGAGTTTCCTTTCCTAAAATAAGCTTTTGATGCTGTGCATTCCTCTACAAACACTACACAGTGTGGCTCCCACAAATCTTAAGGATTTATCTTTAATTATTTAAGAGGAAGAGGGAGACAGAGTTGCGGGAGAGAGAGAATGAATACAGAGGCCAAAGGAGGTTATCAAACTCTATGGAGCTGGAGTTACAAGAAGTTGTGAACTATCCAAGGTGTTAACAGGGGACCAAATTTGGGTCCCCAGAGAGAGCAGTATGTTCTCTTAACCACTGAGCCTACCCTCCAGAATCTCATTTGCATTCAACTCAATACACTATTTTTATTTTTTTTTAAATATTTATTATGTATACAATATTCTGTGTATATGCCTGCAGGCCAGAAGAGGGCACCAGACCCTATTACAGATGGTTGTGAGCCACCATGTGGTTGCTGGGAATTGAACTCAGGACCTTTGGAAGAGCAGGCAATGCTCTTAACCTCTGAGACATCTCTCCAGCCCCTATTCACTTTATTTTTCATATTTGAAGTTTATATATTCATGTTTAAACTAGATTCAGTACAGTGAGGCTAAAAGATTCAATCTGTAATAAAAGTAACTCTGGCAACCTATAGTCAATGTAAATCTAGATATGTTTTTAAATCTGCCATCTTGCTGTTTATTTTCTATTTGTCCCACAACTTGTTTACCCTTTCAACTACCTTCTTTTGGATTTGGGTATGTGTGTGCATTAGTGTTTATTAGTCAGGCATGCATGTGCCCCAGTCCACGTGCAGAGGTTAGTCTTAGCCTTCCACAGTGTTTGAGGCAGGGTCTTTTGTTTGACGCCGTGTATGTCAGTCCATCCAGCTGGCCCACAGCCTTCCAGAGGTGTCTCTGCCTCACACCTCACAGGGATGCTGCAGCATTACAGATATGCCCTGCTGATTTGCTGTGGGCACTAGGTATTCAAACTCTGGTGCCCATCATTGTGTGTGTGACTACCCATTTAGTCATTCCCAGGCCGCTTGGGGTTTTGTTGCTCTTTTATGGTTGTATCTTATCATTTTTCCATGACAGTTGACATTCTCCTTTATGCAGTCTACTTCCAGGTCTTGTCATCCTGCTTCAGTTAGTGTGAACAACTCAGGGCAGGGTATTTCACTACAACTTCCCAACCTTGACTACAGCCCATATGTCAGCTTTATGGTTAAGAACACAGTAACATTTTACATTTACCTTTGAAAAATGAGAAATGTCTTTAGTATTTTACACTTTTGGTCTGTTTCTTTGAGTAGTTACAATTTAGGGTATCCTTTTCCTTCTTAAACATTTCCTGTAACTCCCTCTCCTTGTGGTGGACTCTTTCAGCCTTTCTAGGTCTAAAGAAAAAGTTTTATTTCATTTTCATCTTTGAAAAACATTTTTACTGAGTATAAATCTGAACTGCAGATCCACCTTCAGAACTTGGAAGACAGTCTGCCATGGCATGCTTTTCCTTCTAGGAAATGCCCTCTTTTTTCAGCTTCTATTTTAATTTTCCTTGCAGGCTTTAAGCAATTTGCGGTCATTTGTTACCCTGAGTATTCCGAGTGCCTCTCAGGGATGACAGTGTTATAGGGCCTATTGCTAATCTATAGTAACTATTTTACACATCGTGCCTTTTGTTTACAAATTTCAAACGGGAAGGTAAGGTAATCCCTGTTATTCCATTTCAACCAGAGGCAGAAAGTTCAAGTTCAAATCTTCTATGCTTTGAAAACAAAAAAAAAATTTATTTACTATACTCAAGTGTTTAAATCCATGACAAGTGTTTCACCTATACACATAAAATTACTAGTTTTACCAGACCCTTTTAATATACAATATATACACCTATAGAAAAAGGAAGTAGGAAAATATTAATAGATAAAAATACAGCATACAGACAAAGTACTTCTGCATTCTAACCTTGCTTGAGTGACAGATAAGGAAACTTGTTACAAGTCATAATGCTGCCATATCCGCTAGGAAAAGATCGCAGCATCTCTGAGTCACCTGGGAAATAATTATTCATAGGTTTGTATTTATTACGTATATCCTTAAGCCTTCCATCACTTTAGAAACCCATAAAGTTAGCAAACTAAGCTACATCTTAGTAAATATTTTGATCCCAGAAAATAAAACTGGGCAACAGACGTATATACAAAGTACACAGTTGAAATCTTTGGGCGAGAGGCAACAAGAATGTTAATGGATGAGTAGCTCTCCTACTCCAGTCCTATCAAACCGTGGATCACAGCAGGTGGATGAGCATGCCCAGCTGCTGCCGATGTGTAAATTCTTTCCATGATGAACCTATATAGATAATGCTATGGTAAGGCTAGTAATAGAAAAATACTATCTGTAGCATACTATAATTAGAGAAAGTTAATGGTATAAAACACAGAAAAATAATCTATGCTTTTTACTTGTGAGAAAAATGGCAACAATATTATAATATTTATTACCATATAATAAATTTTCACTGATTATAAGTTGACCCACAGTGATTAAAACCTTATAGCATGATTTTGCATACCATCAATCCATTAGACAATTAGCAGATGTATAGCCCTTGAATTTTCCAAAACCTTATTAGTTTTTCACGTGTAAAGGTCGGAAACCAGAATAGGGAGCCCTCACAAGCAGAAATGTCAAAGGTACCATGTATCTGTACAACTCAAAGTTTTAAAATACAAGCATCATACATCGAACAATAAATAAGTCAGACCTGACGTCATCAGTTAACAAAGATAATGACTAATCAGCAGCATGAAAAAATCCAATTGCTGCTCTAAAGTTATTTCTTCATAAAATAGAGGGTATACCAATGTTTTGAACGCTGGCTACCTAAAAAGAAAATTTGGAATATAATTTGTCCATCAAAAATATAACTGTTTTAAAGAGTCACTTGTAAAACATAAACCCAGCCTTATACGCACATTTTCTTCTCTTAGGCAAAGGGCACTTAGTGTATAGCTAAGGCATTCAGAACATAAAGATCCTGTTCACTTCCCTATTAGGAAGAAGGTATTCTGTGCAGTTTTAATATAAAAATATAAATATGTCTGATAGAGATGGAATAGTGCCTGGTGCAAAACCCATTGTCAAGGCCATAAAAACAATACTGACTCTATTTCATTCTTAGTTGCCAGAAGCTTCCCCATCATAAAAATTAAGGTATTCTGAGTCTTCAGAAGTGGGTTCGTAGTCTTTTGTTTTCTTCTCGCAGCCGTTCGACTTCAGCCACCAATCCTTCATTCACAGAGTATCTTTCCAGCAAAGAGTGTATTTCATTCTGGAAAAGGGGGAATGGTTTTTAGATTACTAATTGAGCACAATTGAGCAAGCTGTGTTTTACACACTCAGCTTCACTTCCTTTGTGCTCAATTAACTAGCTAAATGGTATTTCTTGGACTTAACCACAAAAGATTACCAGAGAAATTAAATATCTGCAAGATTTACAGTCACACACTTGGGTATCTTTTTGCTTAGCCATCAAAAAACAAATCTGGGAGAAAGAAGCCTTAACAAGTCCAAAAGTAGGTGAGCAGCTAAGATCTACTTCACTTGGTTAAAATGTCTGAAGCTTACTTATCTTGGCAATTAGCTGTAACAACTAAGTAAAAATGTATTAGTTTTTACATGCATTTTCCCTCAGAGCCATAGACTCTACGTTCTTTAATACACTATGTGCTATACTTACCAGCTGTATATGAAACTGCTTAATCATCTCCACTTGCAAATTCACAATATCCTTATGGCACGCTTCCCTAGGAAGAATATAAATCTGTTAGAACTGCAACAGCGTAACAACCCTGGACCATTCACAAAGTATCTTCCCTGTTTACATGATGTGGTATTAACCACAGGTATGCTAGGGTGCAGTGACGTTACTGTATGCTTGGCAGGACACTGACTAACTTAAAAATTAAGGAACTTATTCATCTTCACAGTGATAACTGGCATTTTGTCAATAGACACAGAGACAGAACAGGTCTAATTCATCTAAAGTCACACAAAGGGTTGAACAGGTTGTCAGCCCAGCCATCCTCCTCTATCTCTCAGTGTACTATGTCCCTTCTTAAAGAATGGGTCAATGTGGAGAGAAAGATTAGCCAAGCACCTGCCTGACAAATGGGAACCTGGAAAGATCACTTAGGGTGCGACCTCTCAACACTAATATCAAAAACAAGCCTGGTCACCTAAAAACTCTGTTAAAATTATCCAGAGTAACAAATACAAAGAAATTTAAATTTAAAAGGCAAGTTCTTTCTGGGAAAGAAAGAGGCCCAAGGTTCAAGACTGAACATGGGCAGGAGGAGTTCCCCATGAGAAGGTGAAGAGAACCAGCAAAGATTCCTTAGATTTTAATGACCAACTGGAGACTGGCCAGAGTTTAGAATCCCAAAAACTCCACTGTCCAGCCCGCACTGACCAACTTCCTCCCCTGGACCTTTACCAGGTGCTTACATTAAAAATAAGGGAGAAGCAAAGACACAGGGTTGCAAGAGTCCCTAAGGCACAGATCATATGACATCTCAAGGCGGGAACTAAGCCTCTGAAGCTGTATAGCCTTCAGAGAGGAGCTACCATGAGAGCTAAAGGAAATGGCAGGGTCTCTCACACTGCCCCCTCTGTGCCCACGATGACAGAGGTAGCTGTGTATAACCCACTGGAAGCAGAAACAGAACAACTAAGTTAGAGAGCCTGAGCCATGGGCCTCAGACACAGAAAGCCAGGACCAGACTCAGTAAAACAAAGCAAGCACGACAATGCAGAGTGGCAGCAGCTGTGGAGCAGAGAACGTGGCCTCCCCAGGACTCAGGTCCTCATCGGGTGGAAAGGAAGGCCTGAGCCTGAACCCATCCTAATCAGCAGACGGTGTGAGCTGACACGCAGATGCTCGGATAAGCAGGCAATAAGTACTACCACTGTGGTCCTATGCTTACAAACTTCCTGGTAACTGTGTGGAGTCCTTCATTAAGCTGCCTTCCGCTCTCCTTCTGGCCACTTCCTTCTCTCCACAGACATTCTTAGAACTGATAGCCATGTCTCTGCTCATGCTGTTCCCACACACTCCAATGTAAAACAAAAATCTCTTCAGCAATACCTTTCTAAATCTGCCCAAGAAAATTGCTCCCATTCTGTGTTTCCAATATCATTTTATTTGCGCTAGACTCAGCTGTTATCTAGACAGTTTTGCTATTAGACCATAAATATTTATGCAGTGCTCAAAAACCTAACTATGCACTGAAAAATAAGAGGACTCAGAGAGAAAGGACTAAGGCAGACCACATACAACCTGTGCAACTGTCTAAGTAAAGCACTAACAAAAACAAGTCCGAATAAAAGTACCAGGACAATTAAAAAGCAAGATAAAAGTCTGGTACATAAATACTGAACATGATGAAGGGGGAAGGAGAACAGATTGAGGATGTGAGGTAGGAGAAAAGGCAAACATGCCCAGAGATGGGGAAGAGCCAAAATCCAAAGCTTTCAGACCGCACAGAAACAACCAGCAGAGGAGCAGGAGACAGGCTGGCTTCTGCATTTGCTCCTTTAGTCCAGTGGCTGTCACAGGACCAAATTCCCATGCCGTGCACTCCTGGCCAATCTTGAATGAATTGACAACTCACATTAAACACACAGTCATCCTATCAGGATGCAATGGATTTATTCCAGAGAATCGACAGCCACTGTGTGAAGATTCTCACTTTTGCATTCTTAATATCTGACACTGGGCACACCATAATGATCAAAGACAATTTTTCAGAAAGAAAATTTCTAATATTTAAAGATGCATTCAAAAATATTTTAAAATTAAAAGTGTATACCAATAAAAACTATAGATCTCCGATTTCCTTCTTATTATAATCCAAGTAATTGCAGTTCAAAAAGGAAAAAGTCTCTCTCTCTTTCTCTCTCTCTCTCTCTCTCTCTCACACACACACACACACACACACACACACACACAAAATCCCTGTAACTGAATATAACTTCCAAACTCTGAAATAACAATGAAAAGTAGGCAACAACATTCTAGAACATGTAACTTAAAAAATATTGTTTGATCCCGCAAATTTCAAAGAATATATAGATAACCCCAATATCTTAATATTCTCTGAGTGAAAAAAATCAATTTTAATTTATGATGACCTAAAATCCTAGTGCCATACCTGGAGGCAATAGGAGGAACAGTCATCAAAACAATTTCATAATAAAAACTCAAATGATGGGAAGAACAGAGTTACAGAAAGATTTTCTATTTATTTGTAACATTCCGATGTGAAAATGAATGAAACCTATGTCCTGGCAATGCTGCAGCATGCATGGGCAGCCTGTGTATGGCGGCTCTGTTGAACTTGTCCACATTGGATTTCATAGTCTAAGTGGATGAGGATGACTGACCAGGTCTCTTCCTCTAGAGGGCACCAGATCTCATTACAGATGGTTGTGAGCCACCATGGGGTTGCTGGGACCTTTGGAAGAACAACCAGTGCTCTTAAGGGCAAAACCATCTCTCCAGCCTCAACATTCTGATATACTCTTATCAGAAAACATTAGAATTACATGTAAAAGGTATCTGTCAGGCCTGGGGAGATGGCTCTGGCTACAGACACGTCCTGTCAAGCCTGAAAACTTGGAGTTCAGTCTCCGGAACCCATAGAGCAGAACGAGAAACTGACTCTACACGCTGACCTTCGACCTCCATGTGGGTACAGTGACTTATGCTCCCCCATCTGAGTGAGCACCACAACAAAATATAAAACAAGCACGGAAGTCTGTGTCTCACACATCACTTCCCAGAGTGAGTGCACTCATAGGTGATCTAGAAATACCATATGTGAGAACTACATTGAATATGAAACTCTGCCCGCACCCTGAGGTGCAAGGGCATCCTGCACGCCAATTGCACTTTTCCGTCAGGCCATCCATCTCCTTGCTGCTCCGGACAAACGTCCCTTTCCATGGTGTCGTATGCAAAGATAAAACTTCGTATTTCCTATGATTTTGTGGTCATCAGAACTTAGACACAAATAGCAATTGCCAGTACGAATTCTGGTTCAGGTTTCACACAACGAAAACATACACTGTGACTAGGGAGGAACAACTTGCTGCTACCTGCAGTCATCCAAGGTTTCCTGTATCATGTTCTGAATGAAGCGGATCTGAACAGAGGTCAGCGGTGCGCTGGGCCGACTGCTCCCAAGGGTATCGACTATTTTCTCTGAGAGTGAGCTGGCTACTCCAGCAGTGACCGAGGACGCTACCTTTGGAACTACAACAAATGGAGAAAATAGTAACAGTGAAGTTGGACTAAGCCATCAAACATTTCTAAATAAGATTCGGTAAAGAAAGACTGGGGAAACTGCAAAAGAACAATGTTCTTGTGACATTCAGAAAAACACTGTCTGCAATACACATTTTATAGACTTTCTATGTCATTACTTCTAATGGTCATTTATCTGTCTATACAAGCTGCCAACTGTCTGATGTGATAACGCATGATGGGGAATTAGTCTTGAAGAACCCCTGAATCGTTCCTCTTATAAAAGATTCATGTGACAAACTGCACCACAAACCAGATGAGCCAGGACTGCAGGAAACAAACAGAAGGAGCATGGCGGTAAAGCAGTGCCACAGGCTAAGCCCTGGAGTCTAACAACGGGGAAGAGATTCTCAGGCAGCTCATAGATCAACTTAGCTCCCTTAAATGTAATGGCTCTTAGGACTCTACGGCATAAACTCTTTTTTTTTTTTTTTTTTTGGTTTTTCGAGACAGGGTTTCTCTGTGGCTTTGGAGCCTGTCCTGGAACTAGCTCTTGTAGACCAGGCTGGTCTCGAACTCACAGAGATCCGCCTGCCTCTGCCTCCCGAGTGCTGGGATTAAAGGTGTGCGCCACCACTGCCCGGCCTCTACAGCATAAATTCTAAGGATAAAACTTCAACACAAACTTTTTACAGATTTCAGGTATTTCCAAAGAGCCCCCTCCTACTCCATTCTGTGCACATGGAATTAAATCAAACCCTTATATGTTAGGCAGAAAACGGAGCTCATATCGAATGACCAAATCAGTGTTGCTGGATTTAACCACTCATGCCTTCTAATAGAAAAGGAGATCTCCGGCTGGTGACCAGTCTACAAACCCACATTCCTTTAACTTGATTGGTCTGTGGTCTCTCTTTATCCCTTACAAGGGAAACAGCCCTGGATTCCAACTGCACATCTTCACATACAGGATGTGCCGTGTGCTTACCTGGAGTTGAGGATCCATTGACTGAGGGCTCATGTATCAATGGGGCTTCAGTTTCTTTTTCTGGCTTTTCATACTTGTCGAGATTTCTTATTTGGTTAGATGATGGAGAGGTATTTAGAAATCCAGGCTCAGCACCAGAGGAGATCAACTTTGCAAACTTTGTATTTAAAATAAGACAGTCACTCTAATATGTCATTTCTGATCTGGCCCTATTACCCACAAAACTTTTATACAGTTCTCACTTTTCCCCCCAGTAGGTAGGTAAGGAACTGAGAAAGATTGAGAAGCTAATACTAGCAGCAAAGGAAGTTATTAATTAATAAAATTATTAATAATGAATAAAGACATGAATATTTACAAAAGCTAATTTACTAAGCACTTGTTGATTACAATCAAATACAAACACTGGGAAGAGGAAGGGAGGTAGGAGGGATGGGAGGCCATCTCTATATGCTCCCACATCGACGAGACAGAAATATCTGAAAACAGACATTTTTGTACTTCTGACTTCATTATCTTTTAAGTTCTAATTTTAAATATAAATTAGAAAACAAACAGACATTTGCACACAGACAGTCTTGATCTTCCTACGACCTTTGACCCCCAAGATGCTAACACTAAAGGTTCTTGGACACCTCAGATTTGCATTAACACTAAGAACAACTTGACTTTAGGTTACAGAGTAAAACTTGCTTTAGGCTGCAGAGGAAACATATTTTAAAAGAATGTTTCCCCTTTTCTACACATCTCTTTTCTTGTATCTCTAGCTAAGACATCCAGGTTTCCACTTCGGCACTACTTATGCAGACACAGTGAGCTGTAGCTACGGACACAGGCACACCGTCCACTGCTTCAGCTTCACCTCTCACAAGTGAGAACTGCCCAGAACTTCCTTTTCCTCACTGAGAATAAAGAACATACACAGATATAGGGCTACAATATACATTATTTTAACTTGATTTTTCTCTTTCAAACCTGAAGTTGATTTTTCTCCCTTGCCTTCATGAGAATAAAAATCATTTCTCCTCGATAAAAAAAAAATAGGTATGAGATATTTTCTTGCAGATGTGCGGCTATCTTCAACATGGACAAGGTTCTGACAGACTTCAGAGCTGTTCTTCAGTCATTAAAAACTGGCATCAAGATTTAAAACTTTCCCTGCCTAGGCAGTACACGACATCAGTAATTAAGACATTCTCTGAGTGACAAACACTAAGTCTGGTACTATGTTTCAGTGGATACCTGCTTCAAGGAGTCCTTCGGCTCCTGCTTCCCCAGGAAAGCTCTCTTCGCCTCAGCTGCCAGATCAGGGCTTTCACCGTCTTCTTTCCCTGGAGATTCCATGAAGACGGCAAGAGGGCTGGCGTGCGACACCAGAGTGCTGGAAGCGACTGGATTTTTTCTCGGGGGGAACACTGAGTTCAGCTGCAGTAGAAAGTCAAGGCCTGGGAAAGGAAAGAAGTGCCGTACGCAGATGAGGTTTCCCAACCTTAAACACGTGATATTAGCACTTACGATGACGGCAGATAATTTGGATCCAGAGAACTGGCTTATTTCTTAGCTATTTCCGAGAACGGATGGAGATGTGGAGGACATCTTTTCAAGCTTGAAACTCTGTTTGCTTTGTGGAGGTGTGGTGAACCTCTAAAGTACACGTCTAGGCACACTGATGTGCTCCAGAGCCTTAGCAGGAAGACTAACGTGCACAAGCCAGCCTGCAGTACATGGCAAGACTGTCTTCAAAAGCTCCTTTTCTTGTGAAAATACTCTGAAAACTCTAAAGCCCAACCAGTGTTTTGGACAGCATTTGTTCTGAGGGATTTGATTTGTGGTGTCTGTGGCAGTCTGTAAGGTGACCCCTGATGAGTCAGGCCTTTGACTCCCATGCATTGTGCATTCCTCTCAGTTTGCCCCTGAGTTAGACGAAGGAAAGGAACATGGCAGAAGTGGTATGACGCCACTTCCATGACCAGGGTACAGTGCGGCTTCTCTCTCACTGTCCACTCGGAGGAAAGCAGCTGCCCTGTTGCCAGCTTAACTGAGGGGCAGGAACCCAAGGGGCAGGAACTCATCTCTCCAGTCAAAAGTCACACAAATGAGCAAAGAAGCAGTGTTGAATGCAGCTCTGGCTGATTCCTCAACTGAACCATCAAGAAAGGAAAGACCTGAGCATTGGGCCAAGTGATGCTTAACTCCCAGAAACAGTGGGATGCCAAGTGTTTGCTCTTTAGAGTTGACACAGTGGGGTAGTTGTTACACAGCAGCACGGACAGTATTACTTCTCATTTTCACAAAAATATTTCCTAAGATTTCTTACCATCTCCTTTGCCTACAGATTCATCACCTCCTTTGCTGACTACAACATCTGTAATAAAATAAGAAAATCAAATTATTTATTTGCAACATTTTTAATAATAAACTAAATTTTTTTTTAACTTTGTGAAAAAAAGAAGCTGCAGCAACTTGGGCTTCCTATTGGTATGATTGGAGCCAAACGTCCTCAGGACTAATACAGGTCTCCCTGATTCCGCCAGCTTCCTGCACAACAGCAACTATGAAGGTTCACTCTGCGGCCATGTAAGGACACAGCAGTACACAAACAAGTCTCAAAATAGGCACTAGTGCTCAACAACCCAGTTTCACTTGATCTTTTTGGTGCCTTCCTGATCTAGGGCAGGCTTCTAAGATTGTTAAACTACAATCTTTGTATATTTAAACTAGGGATAATGTCTTGATTATCTCTCAAAATTGAGAATTAATTGAAATAAAAATATCTTACAAGTATTATAATGTAGTAAAAACATATGGCTTTATTGATATTAACTTCAGTCACAGGCTACTGCAATATTGTTAATTATTCATTTACCAGTATATAACAAAAACTGTGAACTCAATGTTAACACATTAACAGAAGAATGGGCAAAAGTCACTAGCAAATTCACCTAAAATACAAATGACCAATAGCTAATGACTATCTGATCAGAAATCTTGTTATCTGCATTATGTATATTCACCTAGTAACTACACATCACATACTAACACACTCCTACCCCCCCCCACACACACACACAGAGCAGATTTTTAAAGTTCTTGGATTCCTCTTAATATAAAAATTGTTTAACAGATGAAGAAACTGAGGAACAAAGATTAAGCCTTTTCCTTAGAGAACTGCACCCTTGAGACTGGCCAATTCCAAGTCAACAAAAGCATTATACGACCATGTTTCCTTACCACGAAGGTGAAGCCCCAATAAATGGAGAAACACACCTCAAATTGGACATCTGAAAAACAATGCAGCGACTACAAGAGAAGCTAGGCTGTGCATGAATTTACACTTAGATACTTACAAAAGAGGCCTTTCCTTCAGTTGCTCCCCCCCCACCGTGTGTGTGTGTGTGTGTGTGTGTGTGTGTGTGTGTGTGTGTGTTTAAATCCTCTGCTATGGACACTGAGATTTTCTTCTGATTTTTTCAGTATTATAAATAAAACAGTGAACACACAAATCTTACGGATGTCTCTGAATATTTTCTGGGGTAAACTGGTAGAAACAGAATTAACAGGTCACAAAGTATGAATAGTTTAACAGTCAAACTACCCTATGGATATGTGCCTGGATCACTGATGATCCTGCTATTAGCACTGATCCACCCCATTAAGGAACTTGAGCCTCGGCAGAACTGAAAAAGCACCAAGGTGGCAGAGGTTTCTTTTTAATGGTGACATCTAGAGGGTGGTGACAGAGATGATGTAATATACACATAACACTATCATCTATAGTGCAAAAGAAGAGGCAATCTATTACCTAGCCATGAAAACATTGACTAAATATCAAATAAATACTAATAATCTTTATTTTGACATACCAAGCATCCACGATCTTAAGGAGGCTTATTTGAAGCAGATACAAGTCAAAGATTGCTTATACTGGCAGAAACTCCTTCAAGAAATTCTCTTGGTGCTTAAACTGAGAGACGGAGCACTGACAGGGGTCAGGGGAGGACCAATCTTTATGGAAATTAAAATGCTAGCTTAGGAGCCATGTCCAAGACCAGCATTTGTTTTAGCAGGCTAGATTCTCACATATGGGGTAGAGGAAAGATCCCACTGAGGAACTAAGAAATGAATAAAAAGCACAGTATTGACCCACTGACCCGAACACTTACCATCTCTGACTGGTGAGAACATGTCACCTAAACTACTTTTCCTAGTATCATCAAAGCTGGAGAAATCTTGACTCTTTCCACCATCTGTTTCCTTAGATAAAATATCTGTATTTACGCTTCGAGAAGACAAGCCTTGGGAGAATTGGATACAAAAATCAGTGCTTTGATATACATCTAAACAACTGTTACAACCAGAACGAGATCGCAAAAGTGAACATCACCCACACTGTGGCAGTTTTATAATTGAGCATCAAGAAAAGCAGCAGAATATGTCAGTGAAGGACTTTTCAAAACAAACAGCTCATTTGTTCATAGGAATCACTATAGCAGACAGTTTCTAAAATCATCAATATGCTTTTGCTGCCCTCTTAAAGTATAGAAATACAATATATGACTGTTAGGCTTATGACTGTCTATAAATGAGTAAGACAGATCTACCAGGCATAAAGCATGATGTCTCAAGTACAACAGCAGCCAGCTAACATTTGTTCTCCAACTTGCAGAAAGGCCTCTTGCCTCCACCTAAAGTCTTCTTTCACTAAGACTGGGATTTAACTTGACTCTCGGGATTCCAGAGCTAAAGGACTCAGTAGGCAAGGGTAAAGGGTTGCTAGTTAGTGCATGGCTTTCCAGCTAAGGCTTTGTGAGAGAAACCATAGATCAGGACCATCCTGCTTAGCCTAGGGGTGTGAGTTAGGAGGTGAACTCCAGCTCCTGCACCGGCAGCACACTGCTGCACGTTTCAAAAGAAGCTTGACTTGGCACCTAAACCAACTGCTAGAAAGCTAAAGCCCTGTGTATCACAGCACTGACAGGGTTTCCAGCAGTGCTTTCAGCCTGGCACAGGGACACACACCAGTAAACCAGCACCAGGAGGCTAAGGAGTCCAGGGTTAGCTTGGGCTACACAGGGAGGGGAATGAAAGGGAAGAATGTGGGCAGGGAGGAGCTTGCCTCCTTTTTTCTACGTTCTTAACATCTTTGAATGAATGTTCTAGTCTTTGAAACAGAACAGAGGGTTAGTATCATAGAAAAACAGTACAAAAGCCTTAATTTTCACTTCTTAAAAACTGTTATTTCCTACTTAAACTGAAAACCAGCCACAAATCTATAGAGTGTTTTTTTTTTTCAATAACTAAGTTGGATAATTGCTGATACACTTTAAAGTAAGTCATCACCATGGTCACGACTGTGACCACAGTATCACTAATACTGCGGTTTACTGAGTGTCTCATGGGCCAGGGACACATGTTCTCAGATTGCCATAATAATCTTAAAGATTAAACATTATCATAGCAGATAAACAATGAGACAGTAGAGGCCAGAGTGGCTCAGTCAGAACAGCGCTTGCAGTAGAAGCTGCAGAGGATCCCCAGACCCCACAAGGAAAGAAGAGCAGGGTGCCCGCAGTCCCGACAATGCGGAGGCAGAGGCATGGACCTCTGTAGCAACACAGAGAGAAACCCTGGAGACAGTAGCGAAGGACTGTGATGCCCAAGCTGTTTTCAGGCTTCCATGCACAGAGGCACAAACCTGCAAACTGACAGGTATTTCAAAATCATCAGAAATCTGTTTGTGGGGACAAAACAAATACTTTGCCTAAAATTTTGAGACTCTATTAAGAGCTGTCATTAATCAGTAACCCAGCAGACCCAAGCCTTCATTTGCTAATGAGTGCAGTCATCCTTATAGAAGAACTACTTATTAAAAATTGATACTTGAGTTCACGGTTTATAAACTATCATTTTAATCTTTTAAAGTTATGAGTAAGAACTGCAGACTCATTTATGAAAGTCATGGCAAATTTTCATAATACAATTAATTAGGAGACATTCAGTTATATTTCAAAAATATTTCTTCCAAATAAATAACCACAGTGTTTATCTCCAAGTTCTTAAATAAGGACCTAGTTGTTTGTATGTTGTGACCACTCTGTGAGAGCGACAGAGACCGTCACGGGAAATCGACACTATCAAAGTCAACACATTTGGTTTTGTCAAACTTTGGTTTGGCTGCTATTTACAAGTGGTAAATTCATACTGAGAAGCACGGGCTTGTCCTGCAAAGTGAAGGACAGGGTAAGGTGTCTTCTGAGACTTGAGACTGTGGTCCTAGCTCCGACTCCTGGTGCAGTAAAGTCACTCCCACACTGCACCTTCCCAGGCTGGAAGGAGTAAGTCGGCAGGGCCATTAGAAGAGACTACCCACACACTATAACTCTCAGCTAACAAACGAGCAGTTTAATGTGTGCCAGGCACTATGCAGCATCTCAAAATACCCTACACCTGACTTACTTTTCATTTGTGATATGAAACATTAAGAGCCATAAGTTCAAACCAAACAGACAGCACTGGTGTTCCCACTCTTTGTTCATGACGTAACAAAAAATCAGCCAGTCTGAGGAGTCTTAAAGAAGGATTTCTGAGTCAGCATTTTGCAGCTAAAACAATCGCTCTTTCTCACAACTGGAATTCAGTTAAAGAGAGTTAGTGCTCCTAAGAGCTCTTTAACAAGGCAAACTTAGTAAGCTTCATCTCTTCCATGCTATCTACAAGCGAGTTTTGCCTACACTCAAATGAGTCCCAGGTTCTCAAAAGTGCTAATTATGTGATATTTGGGCAGAGACAAAGCCCTCAGAACAGGCCGACATAAGCAAAATTACCTGCTTTATCCTGAGCAGCACCGGCTCCTTTGCCCACGGCTGTGGTCACAGGCTGCGGGAGAACTGTGGCAATGGAAGGGGCAGTTGCTTCCCTGACGGTTCCAGAATTCTGAGCAGCCCCACTGCTGCTATTCACAGCAACACTCCGTTTGTTCACTGATGTGCCCTTATTTGAGCAGCCTTTATTTAAACTTGCCTGAATGGAAGAGAATATTTAAAAGCTCGGGTTACTAATGTGTCATACTATACATTAATATTTTATAAATGCCCTCCAAAATTAAAAACTTAATTTTTCTTCCTATTAAGCTTGCTGGTATATCTGAATTCTGGTCTAAACAAAAATGCATTTTAGACTACTTTTGATGAGGGTTTACATAAGAATTAAATATTAAGTAAGTTTAAAATCAAATATCAGATAGCTTTATACTAAAACTATGTACAGTGTCACCATATAAAGTAACTATAAAGAAACACAATGCTGTATTTAGTGGACAAGATATAACTTTCTTTTTCTGAGCTAGGGATTTTAGTACAACTGACAATATTGAAAAGAGAGCATCTCACCTTCGTCAGAGTTGTGGAATACTGAAACGCTATACACTGTACAGATGTCTTGTGGGCACTGATGGTTTTCACGGGGGATTTCAGCATCCTTAAGTCGTACTGATATATTTTCCCACGGGAAGACCCAATAGCCAAAGTGGCTCCATCAGGCATAAAATCTACTGCAGTCAGAGGAGTGTCGGCCATTAAAGTTTTCACCAGCCTGTGGAACAGGAGGGGCAAAATGCAAATACATCAGTACATCTAGGAGTATAAGCTTATATGACACAACTATTTATCAAAAACACTTATAGTTTCGAGGACATCTTAGACATACAGGAGCTGTGAAGAAATGCACATTCCACCCTGCTTTTGTTCTCACATAGCAGGGCACAGCCTCCATTTTCCAGGTAGACCACCTACTTCCTGGAGTCATTACTCTACGGCAGGGATATGGCCAAGTCCCCAGTGTCACTCCACAAACAGCCAGCAGCTTCGGGGAGTAGGCACCACATATCCAGTTTCCACTTAGTGGCCTGCTTGTCTCTGGGGACTGCGACCTTTCACTGAGCAGATGCTACTGTATTCTGAGTTGTGCATCTCTTGACCAAAAGCTAAAAGCAACACAGTTCATGTGGCCAATGGAGACTGACTTGCTCTTTGCTGGTCTATCTGGTACTGGACAAAGAGGAGAAACAAAGGCTTACTGAGCTTAAAGGCTGCCAGATAGTGAAACAAGTCACTCACTAGAGCACTGGTGCAGCCGAACATTGCAGCGCTAGAGTGCTGGTAGAGAGCATTGGTGCATTGGAGCACTGCAGTACCATTGCGCTGATACACGGGAGCACTGCGGCCCTGGTACACTGGAGCATTACAGTTCTGGAGCACTGATATACTGGAACGCTGCAGTGCTGGGCACTGGTGCACTGGAGCATTGCAGCACCAGTGCACTAGGATTTCAATGGTTCAAAGATCATCTATGCATTCAGGGCCCACATTCCTTAAAAATACCTGGTAATGTCTGGAGACTATAACTCAGCAAATGTCACCGTGCTTAGTGAGGAGACACCAAGAACAGTGCTGAAATACACTGCTCAGGGTGGCACCCACAACAGAGAAGCACTAGGCCAAAATATAATTAGTTTAGGAACTCTAATACAGAAAATAAATTTCAAAACAAAACTGTTTTAAAAAATGTTTAGTTATACTTTACAAAAGAATCTTAAGACTGATGAAATAAAGATATACAATGAAGAACCTCTCCCTCCCTCCCTCCCTTTCTCTCTTCTGGTCTAAAAGCATCCTAATGTCCATGCCATATCCATTATTCTTTCATACATGAGAAAACAAAAGAAAAATTTCCTATCAGATCCATCAAATGTACAAATATTAGATCCTCCTGATAGAGGTCAGATGCCTGTGTAAGTCAGACATATCTGCTAATGAAGTGACTGTGTTAAAGCATGGACTCGAACATGAACATGGTCGATGTTCAGTGGGCAGACGTCTTGCCTAGCATCCAGAAGACCCTAGGCTGATGCTAAGTACCACATAAACTCAAGCATTCAGCAAGAGGATCTCGGGTTCAAAGACATCTTCAGCTAACTGACTAGGTGAGACTAGACAACAGCACACTTACTTCTTACTTGAAGTGTCATAGAGGATGATTCTCTTATCCAGGCCTATGGTTACAAACAGCAGTTCATTGACAGGAGAGAAACAGATGCCTGAAGCAGGAGCCTTGTGTGTACTGTCAAAGCTATGGTATGAGCTCTGACTGTTGACATCCCAGAGGGTCACTACTCCATTATCCGAAACACTGCCGAGGAGAGACTTCTTAAACAGGGAGTACTTCACGTGCCGGACAGGCTGTGATACAAAGACACGCTGCTGTGACTGCCACAGTCATAAACATCCATACACGTGACTGAAGTCCATCACTTCTGTCTACACCGGGTTAGGACTTCTCTGATTTAAAAGGACAGACATGCTTTGGCCACAAATCCCACCATATTACTTAATATGCTAGAAGATGGCCCTGCAACATTTCCATGCTCTAGTAGTTGAGTGTCTGTCATGATTTTATGATCTTGGAGAACACAGCTTTTTCAATCTCCTCCATTTCAACTGTTAATACAAAGCATCCACGCTGACTCTATTAATTAACCAGGCTCAGAACAGTCACCATGAATACAAGGCACAGCCACAGTCAAATCCCAAAAGAACACTGGGAGAGAATGAAAATATTTTACCCTCATTTCCTTTATCCCCCTTAGACTCTGAGAGGCACTGATCTGTGTGGGGCCTGTGGAACTGACAACCCAGCATAGAAGCCCAGCAAGGCGGAAGTACAAAGGAGGGATTGGGGCAGGCTGAACCTGGTGGGAAAGGCATCAATCAGCCTGAGGGCAGTGCTGGCCTTTCTCTAAACACCAATCCCCCACCAGGAACTTCCTTTCTTGTTTATCTGGCCTAGAAGATTCAGGCTGAGTAAACAGATCTTGGATAAAATTGATTGAATCATATCTTCTTCTCCTAAAATAATGCTTTTATATTTCTATTGGTATCACACAATTAATTTTGCTTTAAAAACCTCATAATCTACTTAATTCTAGGATTTCTTTTGTCTCCCATAACAAAAATTAAGAAATAACATAGAACAAAGTCTGACTAAAGAAACATCTGTTACCAAACACTGATGGTAAGATAAATTACTGTTAATTCATTAATGTGGCTCCTTGTTCTCATATAGTTAAAGAGTGCAAAAAGAAAATGATGAGTCCTTTAGTTTCCATTTTTGTTGGCAAAAAAACACAAGCAGGTGAAGACACAATCTTTCTTTTGGTCTATATCTGAGGGAAAAAAGAACTATGTGGGGTTTTTTGTTTGTTTGTTGCCTTGATTGCCACTTTTAGTCACTATATTTTTGGTTTGTGGTAAGGCTTCCTTCCTTCTGCAGTCCAGGTCAGCTTGAACAGGTTCAGGAATGTTCCTTTCCACAGATTAGGGAAGAATCTGAAGCTGTAGCTAGCTTGAGGAGCCATGCCTAAGATCCCGAAGGTGATTGGCACTCCAGTAGGCAGAAATCACAGTTCAAGCTCACCTTAGCTAGTGAGCTGGAGGCCACACAAAACTATAGGAGACCCTGTCTCAAAAATAACTTTTATTTCTAACTTAAAAAACAAGACTAAGAGAGAATGCCAAATGTCTTTGCCATAGCCATAGATAACTGCAGCTTTCTAAATTATTCAAAAGAAATACTATATAAGTCTTAAAAATTAAACAGCATAAAATGTAGATTTTATAAATGTAAATTTTATAAGTTCAGTGAACAAACAGGATTGCTAATTTTTCTCCTGTGTAAACAATTCTCTTGCGTAGATAAAATTGTCACAGGCAGTTTTGGGATGCAGTTTGGATTTAAGTGTAGGAGGTGTGCTAATGCAATTAAGTTAAAAGGCCACCAACCTCTGGCCCTAAGTAGGCATTCTTAGACAGGCTTTATGAGGCAATTATAATCTAGGGATACAGGTAAGCTCTGAGCCACAAACACTCCACCCCTAAGAACACAGTTTGTTGTCTTCCTCACCTGTCTGACTCCCTCAGGGAGACAAGCTATTGTCATCAGCTGTGTGAGTTTCAGACCCCACACTAAATTCAACTGTAACTTCACAACTACAGGAAAATGGCTTACCATTTCTGGTGGTACCATAAGTACCTTTCTGTACACACTCCTGTATGTGCAATGGGACAGAGTAGATCCCTGGGGTCACAGTCTACTACATCACAGTCATGACAGTAAAATGTCTCTACTGGATTTCAAAGCTGAATATAAAAATGCACGATTACACCACTTTATCTCCTCCAGTTTCCAACACATCTATCACTTCCTAAAACTGTTGATCTGAAATCATTTCTATTTTTGTTGTTTATACTTTTCAGAAATACTAAGTTGAGAATATTAGACAAACATTTTTCTTAAGAATTGTCTATTAATCTACTTTTCCTATTTTCTATTGAGATATTATGAATTAGTGTTAATTTGCAACTGTTTTAAATTGTTCTTAAAAGTAATGTTCATATAAACTATAATATTTTATTCACTTCCTTTTAATTTTGTTGATTCTCTTTTTGTGAGATCAGAAACAGTCTCAAGGTTTCTGGATACCACCTTACACCTGTGATTGTTCTCTGCAGAAGTTCTGTGGGGTGGAGTGGGGGTTCGGCTTCATGTGGTTCCCTTCTCTGGCCAAGGGCACTCTTCCAGCAGGAAGAAATCATTTCAGACCCCTGAATCCCTCCTTCATTTATCTCAAAGCCATTAACCAGACACTGATCACTGAGAGGACATTAAAGGTCTACTCTGGACAGGAGAGCAGTTACCAGAGGCCAGTTCCCCTGTTCCTAGAGCACTTCAGTCCCCACTTCACCCTCGATCCCAGTGGAACTCTACCCCAAGTCCCCACTGTCTGCTCCTTGGGCCCATTCATCCCCCACAAACTCATTTATCACCCCAAGAAGTACTTTCAGCTCCCCCTTTCCCTTCTCCATTTTGAAGCATAGCTAAGCAGATAAATCTCATTATGTTACTAGGTAAACACACACACACACAATTATTTAAGGAGTTTTGAATCAAATCAAGAATTTTATAATACAATTATGCTTCCTTGTTCATTATCAATTCAGTTACTTTAAATAGAACTGGCATCCTACGGTATTTCACAGCCAAAAATCACAAAATTAAAGAAAGGGATGTTTAAATGTTGGTCCCTTGCTGACTTTTCCCAAGAGACTATAAAACATTTTTATATTTTACTATTTTTATCTTTGATGTTTTTAAATCAAAGATCAAAGACTATCATAGTTTGCTAGACCTGGCATTTTCTGAATACATGGGTTCAAAGTTTCCTTTCTTTTTAAAATACATTTTCAACTTTTCCATTTTTATATAACAATTTTTCAATGTTTAAAATTTTTCTTGGTGAAGCATATCCCATGTTCCTTGAGAATTCTAAACAGCTCAACACTCGCAGCACTGCTAACTTGCTTTCTGAGCGCCCTCTTCAGCTTGCGGGCTGGGGTTCAGTTCTGAGTTACTAAGAGCAGTGCACATGCTTAAAGAATGACTCAATACTGCATAAGCCTTTGCTTGTGTGGGGGGGGCGGGGCGGGGGTGTAATGGAAGCTGTTAAAGGTTTCTGACTGCTGCAGGGGGACTGTGGCATCCACTAAGATGCTGATGGGACTGTGGCCGACCACAGCTTGGATGTTCATCGCCGCTCAACCCTTGCTACACCCCCTCACAGGCCTGTGATGAGCCTGCACTGTCGGTTCTTTCTGCCAGACTCAATTACTAACCTACAGAACAGACTGTGAAGCTGTCTGCTGGGTTAATTTGTCCTTTGCAAACTTACACTCTAAAGAAAGGATGCACCTAGCTGATTCAGACAGGACCAGGAGAGAGTTCACTCACTAGACCTCCCACTCACTGATCTTTATTAGACCCGCAGAACCCACGACATCTGCTGCTCAGATCATCAGAGCACAAGTCAGAGAAACAGACACTGAGACTCTGACCGCTTCCTGCCCACTCACCATCTACAGCTGAAATATTAGCTCCTCAGTGAGCCTATTCCTAAATTTTATTGAAAAAGGTCAAAAGCAGAAGAGATTTTCAGATTATTAAGATACAGTGCAAGCTATTATAAAAAATTAGAAAACTATCTAAAATAGAAGAATCTTTAGGTAAAACACAAAGAGTGACATTAAGTAATAAAAATCAATCACTGAAAATTAGTGAGAAGGATCAGTGTGACCATACCTGGGACATAACACAGTGACAAAAGGCAGGAAACAAGTTTAGACAAAGAAAATGACTTTGTAAGAAGACAAAGCTATGTATACGGAAACACATAGTATTTTTCAAATAATTTCCATTAACGTTAGGAAGAGAAAAACAAGGGAAAAAAAAATCTCTCAAAATAGGTACAAAGTAGCAATTTATTTTATGCTTACATAATAATAAGACTACCTTAAGAGCATAACACAGAGGCTAGGCAAGAATATAACAGATGCTAAAGAAATACACAGGTTATTAAGGACATGTTATCGTGCCAAATGTTTCCCCAGTATAAATTATACTAATGCTCCTATAAACTTAAGGATCACTAGTCTAGAAATAAAGTTCTGCAGTCAAACTTTTTTTTAGCATGAAGTCATGTAAAACATAAAGTGAATTATAATTAAAAGTTTTCTGTAGAGCCAGAAATAGAACCCAGAACTTCTTAGGGTTTCTACAATTGAGCTATATTCCAGCCTTAAATTTATTCTTTACAAAATAATTATCATTTTAAAAGATGAATAATAATCACTTACAGTTACCAGATCTCTGTACTCTTAATAAGCAGGCTTATTAAGACTTATAAAATCTACACATAAAACAAACTATTCACTTAAGGAAAACCAGTGGGTTTAAACATGTGTATTTTAAATACATCTGTAGTGTATTTTAAAATCTTGCCTGCTTTACCCAAACTCCCTTTTTAATCTAAGGCATCAATAATACAGATCCACACTTTTAACTGCTTGGGGAAAGGCAACATGGGTTAAACCCTCATCGAGCCCAAGCTGCTGAACTTGCCCAGTGCTGACATGCAATTACAGCTTCAGAAGCCGGCAGCCAGCAGCTCTGCAGAAGCAATGAATTTCTTTTTCCCATGGAGAAAAACACTGCTCCACATAGAGCTAATAGATTCAGTTCACCTCAGACATTCCAAAATAAGACTCTGGATATATCCAGGCAATCTCCCTTCTGATGAATTTCAGTCTGATGCAGATTCTGGGAGACGCCAAGGACTTGTCACTCTCTCTAAGCCAATCTGGTGATTATTACAACCTCAAACCTTGATTGTTTACAGAAACAAAAATAACATTTTCAATTTAATCATAGATACGTCTTGTGTCTTGTCTACTACTCTTTCTCAATAATCCAGACTCTAGGCACAATAAAAACAACCAACACAAAACTGAGCTGAACAACAGTATACTTGATTTTTAAAATGTCAACGTCTGACACACTTGAGATCTTATGAACAATTAAATTTTTAAGTGAATATTTAATATATCTGAAATCTCAAATGAATTTTAAGAAATCTTGTAATAGAAATTTTCATGAATGCTCAAGTGGCAGTTCTAGGCTTCTGGTAATGACAAACTACAAGTAAACAGTAGGAGAGAACTAACGTAAACAGTAGGAGAGAACTAACATAAACATGCTTTCAAATACTTCCAGTATGTTAAGTCAGACTTGAGTGCGCAGAATCCCTACATGGACTGTTCTAAGATATCTAGAACTGATCTTATATATAAAGAAGCCACTCTACTTTCTTGCCTATGTATTTTTATCTTAATGGTATAGCATGAAAGAATATGAGATAATACAGTATACAAAAATAACCCTTTGTACTTGGCAAGAGGGAAAAATGCAGTCTAATTTTTCTTTACCTTTTTATTGATACACCCCCCCCCACTGAGTCTAGTTCATGTTTCCTATATATACACATACTTAATGCTGCTCACTTAAGTATTGGGAAACCTACAAAGGATCTCCTTTCTGAAGAAAACAGCAGCCACTGACAACTGTAGTTCTGCCTCACGAGGTGGAGCCTCATTAGAAAAAGTCTTAAATACAAAAATATGGTTCTGGAGACAAATTACAACTTGTAAAGTAGCAGGGGGTTGAGAGGAGCACACAAACTAAAGATGTTCAAACCAGGTTGAGGAAGTAAATCACAAGAGTGATTTTAATGTGAGTTCAAGGCCAGCCTGTTCTATAAGAGCTAGTTCCAGGAAAGGCACCAAAGCTACAGAGAAACCTTGTCTCAAAACAAACAAACAAACAAAAACCAAAAACCCACTCCCAACAGCAGCTACCACTCATTCATTGATCTTAGCCTAGTGTTGCCAAGTAAATGCAAAGCCCACTAAGGGTCCTTCAGAGGTACAGCTGCCCTAGGAGGAGGCAACATGCCCAGCAACATCTGTCTCAGGTTCTGACTGCTCTGGACTGGCACTACACATGAGCTGTATGCATTCTTGGTTTCCTAAACAAGAAGACAAACTTCATACGGTTTTCTGATAAAACTAATCAATCAAAAATCTAAAACCAAAATTCAATTACTGCACACCTGGAGACATCTAGTATTCTACCTGTGACTAGTCGTGACCAGAGAGGAGGGGAGAGAAGGAATTCTACAGGGGGTGGGGTGGGAGGACCTCAGAGCTTTGAAGAGGGAAAGGGAGGCAATGGAGTAAAAGGTCTTTACTGGGGAGAAAGGACAATACAGAGAAGGAAAGAGGCAGGGATTAAATAACGCTAAAGATGTTTGAAAAGGTCATAGCAAATCATATTATTTTATGTTTATCTAAATTTACATAAATACGTATATGTGTACATACACACACACACCAAATGAAGTTATGCTACTTTAGGTGGTAAAAAAGCCAGACTTTTTAAAAATTCATACAAGTTTTTTCATACTTTTTATTCATACAAGTTTATGAAGTTATATGCCCCTAATACAAAACACAAGAGCCAAAGCCCAGTATTTCTCAACCTGTGACTAGCAACCCCTTTGGGAACGAACAACCCTTTCACTGGGGTCACCCCAGACCATCGGAAAACACTGTTCCCATCAAGATTCATTACAGTACCAAAATTACAGTTATGAAGTAGCAATGAAAATAATTTTATGGTTGGAGGTCACCACCACATGAGGAACTGTATTAAAGGGTCACAGCATTCAGAAGGTTATGAACCACTGGTCTAGACTATCCAAACAAAACCTCAGTACTAAGCATGAGAAACTTCTTTTGATCATTGATCAGGAAAGCCCAAACGACCCCCAAAACAATATAGGCTAGCATCATTGCCCTTGACTGCCTTCTACAGCTTGAAGGTAAGACGCCTCATATTTTTGTCCCAGGACTTGAGGAACCAAGCTGGTACCGACAGGAGCTGGATGGAAGGCTCCTCCCTGAGGACTTATTCTCAGAGTCCTGAGAAAACATACTAATAGTAGCAAAGGCTGTATAAGAAGAACGCAGTGCCACTTAGTGACCACTGCGTGGGAAACAGCAAATGGTAGCAAGTCCTCTATGTTGGCAATAAGTATCTAGCAAACTACAGGAAGCAGAGGGCCATATCTAATTTGTATGTGAAAAGTCAGGCTTTTGAAAAATTCATATAAGTTTTTTTATACTTTTTATTCATACAAGTTTATGAATATGCTATGCCCCTAATATAAAACACAAGAGAAGAAACACATTACTCTAGTTCCTTACAAAGATGTGTGACCAAGATGTGATTGTTTATAGTAGCTCCACAGCCTGAAGGTTTAGGCTTTAGATGACCAAACACAAATAAAGAGAAAACATAGACAAAACATAGTTGGTTTTTACAGCAATAATAATATTCTAAAGAACCAATCTGTGAAAACTAAAAGCATTAATCCATAAAACCTGGAAAGCACTGTCATCTCGAAAGGATTTGTTGTTCAGCAATTCTAATTCTCACACTGCATTTGTCAGAAACACCCAGATGTTTAAACGCTGTCAAGAACAAGCCACATGCTGCACATGGACGGCACCCAGTCCTGGCCAACACTGCACTCTTACCGCCTAGCCTGTTCTTACTCCTTCCCTCCACCAAATCCCTTATGTACCTTCCTCCTTATTTCTGTCATCTCCTCCACTTGAAACACCCTTTCTCCCAGAGTTCTAGATCAGCCTCTTAAAAGCTCAGTAATTTCTAAATATGTTCAGACAGCCACATGTTTATTGAGTGTCTTTACCCAGGTAAGGTGCAAAGCCGGGCATGGCTGCAGACAAAGACATAAGCTGTGGTCCCCATTATAATGTGCACATGTGGAGACCTAACTCTAAGAACCCAGAGCGTAGCAACTGGAGCCGCTCTGTCACACTGACACAGCAAAATCCAACTCTCTCTCTCTCTGGTCCCTCCTGTACTCCTGATTTTCTCAACTTTTCTAAACCACTCCCCCAACTCACAGCTTGTGTCTATAGCTCCCTTATTCCTCACACACATGGACCTCAAAAGGTGATATTTGCCTGTCCAATTAATTATCCGTTAAATTTTCCTCAAGTAGCACATATTATTAAAATATCCGGCAAGCAGCAAAGACCTCTTGTCTTTTACCTAATACTAGTTGTGGCCAAAGCGGTGAGAATAAAAAGCCCGGTATAAAGAGCTCACACGGCTACCTCTCATCCCTCTGAGACTAAACACAACACATCTACCTTAAAAGATCTACCTTACTGGAATCATCTCTAAAAATTTTCAAGAATGTCAGCCAAAGAGTGGATTCATTAAGACATTTCTCATGCCTTTAAGAAAAAAATTAAAACTATTTTCTTGACGAAGGAAAATATCTAATTGACTAATTTTTTTTAAAAAGTGTTCCTAAAGATTTCTGTACTTACCTGATATGTATGAGTAAGCTTTGATTCTTTTAACTACTACATGCTTAAAAAAATTTTCCTCCAAAATTTACTTGACTCTATCTAAATAAAATAATGTCCTATACATGACAGTATTCATGTGTGTACCTGTCTTTACGGCCAATAGTTTGAATTGCACAACAGTTCTGTAACAGAAATGCCATGGGAAGATTAAAATCCTAGTCTTAAAACGGTATTATTATCAAATAGTTACATTTTGTTATAGATAAAGTTATAGTATCAAAAGATCAAATATTTAACTGTATAAGTAAATGCATATAAGCATTCTAGTATATATTAGCTTATTTTATCTTTGTCAAACACTCTCATTAAAAATTAGTTAAACATCTTCAAACAAGATAAATTCTTAAATGTTAAAAATTTAAACTTATTTTATGTAAAGTAATTCAAATATAATTAATCAACTTAAATTTGGGGAAAAAAAAAATACCGTACCTGATTACTTCCATGGCCAAAAGGTGTACTGGATGTATTCGTGGTTAAGCTGTGCAAAACAATCTCACCACTGAGAGACCCAGAAGCAATGTAGCAATCATTCCAATTGTATGCCACACAAGTGACTTCAGCTTTATGATCCTGAAGGAAACGAATACAGGAACAGCAGCCATTAACCCCACATTCTGATGAACAGAAAAGAGCACAGCTGTCAATCAACACCTGTGCTAACATTTTCCTTCAACACAACACTACTGAGCTCATTGGGAAACCACACAATCCACGTGGAGTCTCCTCAGAAGACAGTGTTCAGGGCTGTATTACATGTCCACGGACTCTGAAACAATAAACATTCCAGAAGGCTAACTTACTTAATGTTCACCTGAGAGAACTGACTTCCACTGATAGATAACATTAATTTGAAGTTAAATATTTGCTTGAGTATTACTGTTCAACTAAAGGTGCTGAAATTAGCACCAAAACGATGGAACAAATGCTAACTAAACAGTGGCATCAAGGGATCAAAGGAAGAAAAACAGGTATCACTGTCAAATGATCTGAGAGAGAAACATAAAATTAAGTCCAACCTTAAAGGATGAAAGTGGGGAGTGGCAGTACACACGTCTAATCCCAGCACTAAGAAGGAGCGTGAGCTCGAGACTAGCCTGTACTACGTTGAGCTCTAGGCTAGCCTGAGCTATATAGCAAGGTCTTATTTCAAATGACAAACAGATAAAAGCAGAGGTTAGTTATGGGGAAAGGAAGGAAACCAGACATGACCAAGTGGGAGAAAAGCAAAGAAACATCTGAGCCATCAGACAGCAGCTGCTCCCACTGGCTGAGCACCTTCTCAGATGGGACTAACAGGCCATCTAGTCAATCTGTAAAAATCCTAAAAATCAATGTCATTTGCCCCACTTACAGATGAGGCTCACAATACAATGAAAAATTAGGAGACCGGTGCCATCTTATATATGTGCTAAGAGACAACTAGTATTCCACTCCAAGTCCAACTCCAAAGCCCATGGCCTCCCAACACTGCAGACTGCCTACCAAATATGAACACCATCTACTCTGAGGGAACAAAAAGTTCAAAACTTTGAAGAAACTGAGTTCACAAAGAGTGTTCCCAAACATCAAAATCAGAGATTTTTAGCAGGAACATGTAACACTGACCTGAAGGGTGGGGTTTTTGTTTTTCTTTTTGGCAATATAGTGTTCTGTTATTTACTGACATAAATATACTCAACTTGATACAAAATAACTAACGGATTATCAAGACTAGTGTGGCTAGGGACACCACACTCACACTATAACTTTATCCAAAGATCCTTCAAACATTTCCTCTCTTCTATCAAAGAACAAGTGCCTGTGGGATATTTTTTATGTTGTATACAAAGACACAAGCAACATCCCTGTGCATTGTTGTCACAGGGAATTAAGAGAGTCATCCAATAGAAGTTCTGCCACTTTGTGAAGGAACAGGTGTCTCCCTAACTCCAGTTGTGGAAACTACTGCCATGAATCATCAGGAAACATCTGCTATGCACCAACCGCATGCCAGAGAACTGACAGACTGACCAAAGACTCCCTCCTCAGAATGAGTCTGTGTAAGCAGTGTGAACTCCGACAAAGGAAACACTATACGAAGAGCAGAGCAGGGGCTGCACTTGCAGGGACCACCCTGAGGCTCACAAAGAACCAGTTCATTAACATCTGACTCAGTTTCTCCGTCTGCACCTGAGGATGTCTGCTGCTCTGCAGTTACTAAACAGAAGCAGCATTTGCAAGTACAACGGCTCGCACAGTAAGCAACTTGACAAAAGCTACCTACTTCATTAACAGCAACCTGTCTTTTCCCACAGTCAAGAGTCTTTAAAGTTTAGCTCTACTTAATAATCTTCAGAATTAACTCAGAAAATGTACAGGACAATGTCTGGTATTTACGACAAACAATCCGGAGACGGATGACAGGAGAGCAGGTAAACCATTACTGTCACATGGTTGCAGGTAAAGGGAGTTCTCTGTGTAGGCAAGAGTACGGATATACAACCATTTACGTTTCATATTAAATCTGACAAACTCAAAAATAACTCCGTAGTTCCCCTTCTAAATATTGAAAAAGGAAAAAGTAGAGTTAAGAAAGTCTTAACCACAGACCTTCCTGAGATGAACGTTTATTTCTGAACCTAGAAAGAACTACCTAAGGGAACATGGATTCTACATAGTGAATTATTTTAAGAATTACTTCATTACCAAGTTCAACTCTGGTTACTGAACTCCAGAACCACACACACTTTCCCAAAACCCTTAAAAATAAATAAATAAAAACCACTGATGACAAAACCACACCTCAGAAAAAGAAAAACCAAGGAAGTAGTTCATTCAAAATAGGAGAAATACTTGACTATGTGAAATAATAATAATAATAATAATAATGATGATGATGATGATGATGATGAAAAGGCAACATGTGCCAGTAATTTCCAGGAGGGAAAGTTTAAGCTAGATAGCACCTGCATTCCTCAATAAGTCTCACTTCAATTATAAGGGCAATGTTTGGTAACCATTCCAAACAGAGTGTGAGCCATTCATTCTATAAATATTTAAAAATATATTTACTTACCTTAAGAGACCGATGAACTCGTTTTGATTTTAAATCCCAAATATTAACAGTGTTATTTAGGCCTCCACTTGCCAAATACATTGATGTGGAATTTAAATCGACACATGTCTGCTTTTGCTAGTAAACAAACAAACAAAATTAGCGTAACAGGTCCCAGAAATGATACAGTCTCACCCAACACAGTAAGCATGACAATGAATATGCTGAATTAAAAGCAGAGATGCTGATACTCGCAACTAAAAATTTCGTCTCTCATCATCCTTCATAAAGAACCAACAGCTTATTCATCCTATGACATCAAGACAATCAAAACTTGGTGGTGTTTCCTACGGAGGCGGTGAGAGGAAGCTCTCCATCAAGCATGTGTTCAGTGTCTTCCCTGCTCAGACCTTCTCTAGGATCTCTATACAGCCCTAAAGTTAATCTCTGCTCAGACCTTCTCTAGGGTCTCTATACAACATCCGAAAGGTAATCTCTGCTCAGACCTTCTCTAGGGTCTCTAAACAACATCCTAAAGTTAATCTCTGCTCAGACCTTCTCTAGGGTCTCTATACAACATCCTAAAGGTAATCTCTGCTCAGACCTTCTCTAGGGTCTCTCTCTATACAGCATCCTAAAGTTAATCTCTGCTCAGAAAATGCTAAACATAAGACCTTTAAATAATTTCTAAGCTGGGTGGTGGTGGCGCACGCCTTTAATCCTAGGACTTGGGAGGTAGAGGCAGGCAGATCTATCAGTTCGGGGCCAGGTTGGTCTACAGAATGAGTTCCAGAACAGCGAGGGCCACACAGAGAAACCCTGCTTTGAAAAACCAAGCAAATAAATAAATTCTAGCTTAGCCTCCCATTTTACAGATGAGCAGAGATTTTTAAACAGGCCAGGTCTCCTCGCAAATCTCACCTCACGGAGTCTTAAGCATCTCGGCAAATCCAGACCTTAGGGCTAGGGCTGCAGCTCAGTAGCTGAGCATTTTCTGAGCAACTGTGAGGCTCTGGGAAATCTACCACCACATATAAACATATGCATAAACATAAAAACAAAATAACCTGGTCTCCCATCCTTCCTCAGCTCAGCCAGGGCACAGATTAGCCCTCAATTCCTTGTCACCCTGGTCCCAACCTATCAACAAGGTATATAAACTCCAACCCTACAATAAATTCCACATGCCTCCCTTCATCCAAATCTATTACTAGTACTAACCCAAGCTTTGAACTTTGCTCAACCACGGTAGCAGTCACTTATCTAGTTTTTTGTTTCCACTCTTGCTTTCTGAAAGCCCATGCCCCATGAATACAGTGGGCAAAAATTTAAAAGAAAAAAATTAAAAAGCAAGCCAGAGTTGGGTACAAGCACACCTAGAAGAAACCCCAAACCCATCAATGTGCCGTCAGAGCCATATTTGTCTGGGCCATCAAATACAAAAAAACCAAAACGGAAAAATGAAGTCCAAAGGAAAGACTTAATGACTTTACCAAACGGTAAGCTGCGCAGGCTGAGGCAAATCACCTCACATTTTAGAGAGGAGTACTACATCACCTGTTCCTACCCTGAGAGGCAGGCATCCCCACAACAGTCTGTGCTCCAAAGACTCTTCAGGTGTTCCCTTTCTCACACCCCCATGAGCGGTGACCAACAGTATTAACTAACACGTGTACAAAAGAGCAAGACACACAGCACATCAGTGCTTCAACTCTAGTAATAGTTCTCCCAAACACCATCGTTTCAAGAAGATTTACTTTAGAATCTACTTGCACTGCAAATCTAAGTTTTCTAATAACCATTTTAAAAAACTTCAAAAAAATAGATAAGAATGGTATCCACCAAAAATTTATACTGGGATGCCAGCTGTCACAGTATAATTATTGTTAAGGTATCTAAACAAAACCTATACTTAGAACTGGTTTACCTTGTTGATAGAAGACCTTTCTATGTTAGTGGATTATTAATGCATCTAATGAACTTAAACAATTAATAGAAACTGTATGGTATTATAGAAATCCTATACATAGGACAAAAGAATCAAAAGACACAATTTTTAAAAATTAAATTTCAAAGTTATTCTGTAGTCCCCAAAGCCATTATAATACTAATACCAATCCACTTCAAAGAGGAAATATACAAAATTAAAAACAAAATAAAGAAGTCAAATTTCATTCTAAAAATAATGTTAAAATAAGTAGGGTGGAAATCTCTTTCCAAAAAGAAAAGGCCTGAGAGCTTAAATAGCATTGAGTTAACAGGGCTGGGACCTCACCACAATAACGACCAGATACGCTGCAAGAAATTCCTAGCAAAGGGAATCACTGTTTGCAAAGGCTTTTAAACTACAGCACACTCAAAATTGGAACTCTGACGAACTCATCTGTCTTCCTGCTTCACAACTAATGTTTTAAAGTGGGGAGGGCTAAAACTACACAAATTCACTAAGTCCTCAGAATTATTCACATTTGTAGACATCACCAGTTAAAGTATTAAAACATAAAACAGAATTTGAAGTATAAAAGTACAAAGTATACTTTTTTTTTTTTAAGTGTGAGGAATAGGGCGTTGTAATAATCCAAACACTAAGGCAGTAAAGGTAGATGGTTCTCTATGACTTCAAGGTCATCCAGACAGCCAAGACCACAGAGAAAGAGAGACAGAGACAGAGAGAGACAGAGAGAGAGTCTTAAATAAACAAGCTAATAAACAGACGGGGGGGGGGGGGGGGGGCAGAGGAGCTAAACGCTGATTTTAAAACAGCGCATGAAACAGCATGCAGTGATGAAGCTGGAGGCACTGATTTGGCTTCGACATTAAATTCAACAGCAGCTTGCTGGCCACTTTTCAAAGGACCCAAAGACCCCAAGACTGCTCTAACTCCTGTCCTGCAGAGCTGCGGTGACCCACTGACCAGGTCTTTCTCCTCTACTGAACTCCATCTCCTCAGACTCCCACTCTACTCAGACATTCTCACTACCTAAGCTTCCTCACCTGGGCTGAAGTGACATTTAAGTTTAAACTAACTAACTAAATAACTCAATAAATACCCCACACAGAGAGAAGCAGCAAGAAGAGAAGGAGCCACAACTTTTTGTTTGGGTGTTGCTCTTTGAAGAGCAACTTCTGTGAAGGTGTGAATGGAAAAGAATCCAGTATTATCCTGAGTGAACCTAAAAAAAACAAAAGGATAAAGAAACACATCTACTGTGTGCTATGGGCCCAGGACTTACTGAAGAGCTCATCTGCTTCAGGTGCTTAAGGAGGCCCCGGCAGAGCCCTGAGTCCTAAGTGGTTGGCATCTAAAATGGAAGGGCATCTTCAGGGCTAGTCTTTTGTTGATGACCTGCACTCAGTCAGCAGAGAATTACATCATGACGGTTCATATGGTCAGGTTAACCTAGTGACCTAAGTCACCCATCAGCAGGAGGGGAACTGGAACTAAGGTCTCCTAGGACTCAATAGAATGTCACCTAACAGCCTTTCAAGTAAGCATATACACGCCACCTGTTACTGTAGTATTTGGAACTCAGGAGAAAAAAAATGTTAAAACACAAAGAGCCAAGACAAAGAAGTCATTGTCACTTAAGCAAAATATATTTTAAATGGTTTAAAAAGCAAACAACTTACCCCTTCAGCAAGCTCCAAAAGCGGGACGGGTTTACATTTGCAACTTGACACCACTATTTTGTCTCCGCTGGAAGACGCTGTCACTAGGAAGTTATCTGAATGAAGAGTTAGGAAGCATCCAATAGTCCATGGGCACCCACAGCCCCCAACTACGGTCATAGAGCAGTCAAGTAAGCCAGCGCCAAGACAGGAACACAAATACAGCTTAGACACAGCTTTTAAAATGGTTCCCGTTACCAACTGCTAATTCTCTCTTTCAGGAGGGCAGGGAGAACCATCCTTTCTGGCTATGCTATCATCTGAAAACTACTTAGCCCTTGTGAAACACTACTCCCTTCCCAGGGTGGGCCAGAAGGTCTAATTTTAGCCTTTCAGAAGTGAGAACACAGTAAGAGCAGCTCACGCAAATAACAACCAGCTCTGTCATATACAAAGTCAGTTTATGGGACTCATTTATTAAACCACTGCTCAGTCCCAGCTGCAGTTAGACAGCTGGTATCCACACCACTCTCCTACTTCTTCCAACAGAAGAATGAAGACTGATGTTTTCTCAGGACTGAAGTCACTGTCATAGATGCTTCAAGCAAGAATATATTAAGAATGAGTGTTACAGAGTACAGTAAACACAACTGATTGTGGTTTAAAAAAAAACTGCTTATGCTATGCAAATTTAAACTTTAAATTAATCTTCACTTAAAATTTTAATTACATTACTCTATATAAATTATACATGAGTAATAAGTAAACACAAAACAGCGTATTTTAAACCAAAATGATTACATGATGTAATCAAGAATAAGAGTCTGATTTTGAAAGTCATAGTGCATTAAGATATCCGAACACTTTACATGTATATGGATGCGTGTGTACCGCTATGCATGCACACCAACATATCACATTCCGGGTATGGAGGTCAGAAGACACTCAGGAAAGTCATTCTCCTTCCACCAACTGGGTTCAGCGAATTCAGTTCATCAGGTTCAGCAAGAAGCATCCTCACCCCTGAGCCATCTTGCTGTCTCCAGAATACAGGAACTTTAAACTTTCAACTTTCAGGAAGCAAAATCTATGCATGGAAGCAGTGGAAACTTCTGGATAAGCCTTACTATATTATTTTGGAGAGTGTACATAGTATTCAGATATTTTATGAATAGATCATTTTTGTTGTTGTTGTTTCTGAGAAAGTCTCAAATATCTTAAGCTGGCTTCAAAACTCATTTTGTAGCCTAGAATGACCCTGAGATTATGATCCTCCTGCCTCTACCTCCCAAAAGCTAAGATTACAGGCATGTACCACCATGTCTGATTTAAGTGGTGCTTACAACCAAACCTAGGGCTTCATTCATGCTAGGCAAGTCTCTAGCAACTAAGCATCACTCCAGCCAATGTATTATTTAAAAAAAATAAAGTTCTGAGCTCCACTGGGATGAGGCTCGCCTACGTGGGGGGGTGGGGGGGCTGTCACCTTCCACCCTAAGAATGAGTCTCCGGTGAAGTCAAGGATGGAGGGTCACTGTCTTCTCCCCTAAGAAAGAGGTCTCCAGATAACAGGTAAGCTGCCATCAACATGAACTGCTCATAAAAAGAGCCTATGTTTCTCTGGTTTATGGATTCAAACCAAGCAGCAAGTGCAGAAATCCACAGAGCTAGCCGCCCATGCCCTTCCCTGCAAACTCAGGAACAAGCTTACTTTTATAGTCCGAGTATTTGCACATCTCTAAACTGAGCAGGCCCTGGTTCAGAGCAAGCTGCACACATCATTTCTAGGGGAAATAAAACGGTTCCCACCAACAGAGAGCCACAGTGAGAAGCCACTGGCTTCTTTGTTCACATTTCACCCCAAGGACACAGACAGAAAATGGCAGGAAGCGGGGAAGTGAGTTTCTAAGTTTTTCTTGTAGTTTTGGGAGTATGAGAGAAGGGCGGGACATCACCTAAAGAAACTAAAAGAATGAACTTCCCTGGCACCTCATACTAAACCTGTTCTTGGATCTTTCATGCTGGAACCTACGTCGCCAAGTCTAGAACTCTGTTCTTCAGTAACAACGGGCATGGAGGAACCACAGCCTCTTTAGGAGTGAGACTGACACAATGCTCTCTGCACAGAAATAGGAGCAGCTCCCGAAAGTCACACAGCACTCCCTCACTGCCACACCAGCCATTAGTGCAAGCTCCTGGAAACACTCCCTAAAACGACGCCAAGCAGAAAAAAACACAACCTATTTCTTAAACCGTCCCAGAAAAAAAAAAAAAAAAGAAACTATAAACACAATTAAAAACTAAAAATAGAGAGGATCAACTTCATACACTTGCCACTCTCCTTAAAATAGCTTCCACATGACAGGCTGGAGAGTCCTTCACACAAGTTTGATTAATAGAGCATCAAAGTAATTGGTTTCACTGCTGCTCCAATGCAAAAAACCAAGGGATGATCAAGAGGGAAATTTAATCCAATAAGAAAACTTGTCATTTGTTATGTATGTGCAAGAACAGGCATTTGAGATTAAAAGTTCCTAATACATTTGTTCATAAATCAGTCATATTGTAAAGCTTTGTCAGTTTCCCTTTCATCAGGAAGAAATTAATACTCTTGATACTGGTAAAAACCAGACAATTCTTAGCACTTACGGTTGTTTCAAAACAGTATGCGTTCCACAGAAGATGAATTTCTAGCCTACCAAAGACATCGAGTATTTTCATGTTTTCACATCAAGAAAACTAAGAGCGCTTCATCTACAGCAGAGGCCCTCAACTTGAGGCATCTGGACCACCACGACTGGAAGTTCAAGGCATTTCGAGGCTGGGCAGCAGAGGCCAGGAACATTTCCTGTGATGCCCAGGAAAGTCCCCACAACAATGACCTGTCAGACCAAAATGTTAACGATGTGAGGATGATAAACCCTAGCTGACAAGCTCCCATCACACCCATTCACAAGCTCACCAATACAGGGAGCATGCCAATCAGACAAGCGCAGGAAAAACTCAACCCATTTTGTTTGTTGGGAAATGATGCTGTTTTCATCACAGACAGGAAAGACAAATCCAAGCATATCATCAGGAAGATACAAATGGTGGACAGTTTTTTTGTTTTTATTTTTTTTAAATCTCCTCCTCATCTTGCTTCTGCCCCCAAGCGTTGACTGAATTCGGATCAGATTCAAATATCCAAATGGAGATACAGAACATCATTCCCAAATCTCCCCGATGCTCTACGACCCTCCTTATTCTGTGTATTCTATAATAAACTGCATACAATAGAATTCTACTGCCTGTATCTGAAGACTAATATAGAGGAAATAAGAACACATGCATATGTAATACTTTTATCTATATTTTTTAAATCTATGGTAGTGACACAAAAATACTTTCCTTTTTATGGCCCAACACAGTTTTACTAATTACTGAAGACTAGTGAAAAGTTGTTAACTTTTTTTTTTAAAGGATACTATTGCTGCTCCAACATATCGAACTGATTCCATGTGGTGGCATGTGGGGGTTGAATTTATCCACCAATGTCATAGACGAAGCATCCCATATTCTAATATCATCGCCTGAGGAAGCAAATCTGAGGTTTTCTTGCATGACTGAGCCTATAAAAAGTTTAGAACAACATACACCATTACGGGAAAGCAATCTTTAAAAGCCAAAATGAAAATAAATGTTTTATTCCAAACAGCACACGCACTACAGAGATCTGAACACCAGACAAATCACATACTCTTAGCTCATCATTCCAAGACTCATCCTTGAGTCTTCCCCAGCAACCCCAACAAGTTCCACCTCCTCTGCCCACATACAGGACAGCTATACTAGTGCAGATCTCCTTTCTTTCCTGTCTGGGACCACTGAGACCTGAACACTGGCCTTCATGTGTCTATGCATAAGCCAAGGTCATCCTCACCTTGGTATCTCCTCACCTGCTGCTCCCTCTACCTGGAAAACTGCCCCCAGGTTCCCCTAAACCACCCCCTTATGATTCAGTTCTCAGCTCCAACATCCCTGCCTCTAAAAGGAAGGTTCCCTATCTACTGTGGCGGAAGCAGCCTTTTACCAGTTACCCTGCATTCCGCCACCGAATTCAACGTTGTTCATGAAACTTCTGCTGTCTTATTTGTCCCCATAACAACACCTGCCTCCCATTATAGGAGATTTAAAACATTCCTGATCCATAAGTGCTCCACAAAAAAGTACCTATGTTCTCATCTTTTAAAATATGTACCTAGAAGTCTCAATTCCATTATCTCAAGTTTTCCAAAGTCTAAAATTAGTAGCATGGTTAAAGAAGTTGTCACTGTCTTCCTAATACCAACTCTTTTTTAGTTTTAGTTTTTCGAGACAGGGTTTCTCTGTAGCTTTGGAGCCTGTCCTGGAACTAGCTCTTGTTGACCAGGCTGGCCTTGAACTCACAGAGATCCGCCTGCCTCTGCCTCTGGAGTGCTGGGATTAAAGGCGTGCACCACCACCGCCCGGCTTCATTGATACTTTAAGTCTAATAAGAAGAGGTGACTTTTTTTTTTAAAGGATACTATTGCTGCTGCAACATATTGAACAGAGTACACGCGATGACGTGCTGACCAACAGTGGCCACGGACAGGCTCCCATTTCATCAACAAAGCACCACACTTATCTCTAACGGGCTCCAGAGGACAAGATAAAACGCTTAAAGTAGAAACCGTTCATTCCCGAGAGAAAAGAAGAAAAAAATGCTTTGAGAAAAATGCTTTAAGAAAACAAAAATATTTAACGTTTAGGGAAAGACTAAAACTGTTAGCCAGAAACTCCCGGGACTGCGGGGTGTGCTGTCGAGATACAGTAGTGTATAGGTGGCTCAGGGGTAGACGTGCCAGGAGCTGCTCAAAACTAGCAGTCACCTGTTGAATTGTAGACAATGTTTCTAGTCGCTGACAGAAGCTTTTGTACCCTATGCCCCCACCCCCGGTCCCCTAAAAGCAGAACTCTTCAGTGCAGTCAACACAACTCCAAGGAGTCGCTACCGTAACAACACGTAAGGGGCAGCAGCTACGAGACAGGGTGGATCAAAATCCCCAAAAGCTGCCTTAAGCGACCCGCCCAGGTCACGTTTCCCTCGCTTGACTTCTGGGATCTGACAATCGGTCGCTCAGGGAGGGTTCCGCGAAAGACGAGCGACAGCGACCAACTAACTGCACCCTTGGCTGCAGGAGACCGAGCTCTCCTGGGTCGCACCACAGGCCCAGGGCGGCTGCGGACCCGAAGGAGAGCAGGCCGCCCGGGGAAGCACGGCCCGCAACTCTTCGGGCCCGTGACCCCGTCCCGTCCCGGGCCGGGCCACTCTCCGCTGAGAGCGCGCGCCCGCTCTCCCGCCCGCCGCCGCCTAGCCCGGGCCGTAGGCAACCGACCCCGGGGTCCCCCGCCGCGGCCCTGAACCGGGGTGCTCACAATTTCCCCAGTCCGGCGGAAACTCACCTCTCAGGCGTGGGACCACCCGCTCCGCGGCCGCGCTTCCGGCTCCCGCCTGGACTGTTAAACTTGGGCGGCCGGAAGTCCCGCCCCGCGTGACATCACGGGGGAGGCGGAGCCCGGAGCGTCCGCTCAGCGCGTGCTGGCTGGGATCTCAACACTGGGGCGGTGCAAGGGAAGTTTTCCTATCGTGGAGCTCTCGGGCCTGGGGGGCTTGTTTGCCAGACACCGTGTTTTTAAGCTGCCTGGTGTGTGCTGGGTTTAGCCCTAGAGGAACAAGAGATCTGCGACCATGCAGGTCCCTTGGCCTGATGGAGTTCACCTTTCCGGGGAGCTAGTAGCAACAACTCTATATGTAAATGTCAAGAGCAAGGGATGTCGAAGCCAACATGCCCAACTGTCAGTTACCTCAAAAAGGTATCCCAGTTATCGCAAGGAAGATGTGACAAAGTCCCAAAAAAGGGAATCAATATGGATGCTGGTATAGGAGAGGAAGCCATGGGAAACTAGTAATTGAGACACATCTAACCCAAACCGAAACCTAACCCTGGAAGTTGAGAACAAACTTGGAGATGGGCTGGGTCGGTTCCGGAACACCATCTCAGTGTTATTCTTTTGAAGGAAATTGTCTCGGAGTGGAAAGGGCCCAATGAACTTGTAAAGTTTTTTCGGCCAGATAAACCTCTCTGCCGATGCAATAATTTAAATCAGACCAAATCAAACCGGATTAGAAAAAGCCCAGGTTTAAGAGATGCCAGCATTTCCCAGGGGCCCTCCAGGAAAACACAGAGAGGGGAAAGGAGAACCAGGAAGACCACGTGTTCGCTGGAGGCGCAGTTTAAATAGCCCGTAGGAGTGGTCTTGACCCTCCTTGGGGAAGAATCTCCCTTTGGCCGGCTTTCTCAGAGGATATGTCCTTTAAAACCAGACTTTAGTTGATTGGTATCCTTTTGAGCCAGGAGCGCTGGTACCAATGATGAAGTCCCAGGAGCTGGTACAGGTGTTGGCATTGTCTAGAAGGCCCTCTGTAAGTTGGTCTTAGCCAAGACAACAGGGGTGACCTGTAAAATTTGCTTTAAAATGGTGAGGTTAAAAATAGGCTCTGGAGACTGTTTTTTTTACCAGACCTGATTTTTTGATAAAGCAGCAGAGCTTTTTTTTTTTTCTTTCTTTCAGAAACTTGCAGATATCTATAAGACAACTGGAACAGGAATATTTTAGAAGACAGTTAAAGGGAACTGGGAACTGTGGATCTCTGAAGATACATTTGAAACCTATTAATCCTGGATGATGAAGCATGTGAAAGAGACTGTCTGTCTTTTTATCAGGAAGCTTGAGAAATGAAGTACTGAGTTACCAGTACCCTAAGTCATTAAATGCCACTAGACAGATCTAAGAGGGTTAAATGAGCAGATATGAGACAACCTTTTTAGCTACACAGGCAATCCCAAGTCTCTCCCTAATAGTCTTTGGCCTACACCAGTCTTAGAAGCAGTGCTTGTTGTTAGCCTCTGAGTCCAGGAGGCCCAAAGATTTTTCTGTACGGGGAATATTTAGTCTACCTGTCTTGGCAAGATGAGACAATGAATTCCCCAGTGTAGCATCCAGGAAGCTGATGAGGTGGAAGACCACTTTTTGCTGTATGGGTGGCTTTGCCATACCCAAAGGCAAGCCTCTAGGTGGAAGGTCTTTTGTAACCGTGTATCTTCTTGGAGGAGCTGTAGGATGCTACAGGAGCTGGCATGTCTCTGTGTTAGAATCTTTTTTGTTAAATGCCATACTCTATGATCTGTCAAGGCATTTGAGAACTGGGTATCATTACCTGTTATTTATATTTAAATTAGACATATAATTTAAATTTAGACATGTGTTTTACCCATTAGTTACAACTTACCAATGCTAGTAAGTGTAAGAAGATTAAAAGGAATATTTTAATAAGTTAAAGATTTTGGAGGCGGAATGTCTCCTTGGTTGGTCCAGTCCATGTGGGTACTGTTATGGTAAAAGTAAAACACCACAGATTCCCAAGTGGCTGCAGTGGGCTCTGGCGCTTCAAATGTAGACAAAGGGCTGGAAAGCCAGACAACCCTGTGAGAAGCAATCAAGCCACAAACTTCAGGAAAGCCAGAAGAGGTGACTGAAGCAGACAAAGAGGTTAGGGAGGCACAGAGACTTCCTGGAACCAAAATAAGAGAGCGTTTCAGCTGCAGAAGAGTCAAGAGGCTGACAGGAGAGGGAAGATTTTAGCGCAAAGAATAGAAGAAATAGAAGAGGTTGCTTTTGTCTTTAATACTGTAATAAAAGTTACAGACAGCCTAGGATATTACACTGACTTGGAAGCTTTACATTAGATAAGCTTCCTTCCATTTGGATAAAGGAGTTATAAAAATAAAATGTTCCCAGGATGTATTCAGGGAAAACAACTATCTTCTAGGGCACCTCATAGGACCAGTGCATCTTGGTCCTGTCTGCATTTGACAGCTCTGGACTCATAGCAGGATGAAGCTTCTTAAGACATCTCTGAGACATGGAAAGACTCCATTGTGCCATCTGTGATGTTGGCTTCAATGGGAGAGGAAGGTCATGAACCTTCCTTAGGATCCTATTAGGTATAGGGTAGCAGAGTGTACATTTATCTGTACCCTATTCTCATTGACAAAAAGAAGTGTGAATTATTGTGTTGCTGTGACTGACTCTGAAATGTTTCAATCTGAGGAAAAGCTATCAATGATTTTTTTTCCTGAGTAGGCAATGAATGTATGCTATAAAACTTTTAATTAATGCCAAAGTTTGAGTTAAAAAGAAATCTTTTTTTATCTCTGGTAGTGGGACACAATTGCTTTGCTTTAAGAAAGTGACTAAGCATAATTTCTTGGGCATACTTCAGTACTATTGTAGACATATTCAAGCTTATGGACTACAAAGTCTGTTTATGTTAGTTTTTACCTATTCTGAGCATCTATTTTTCTCCCATATCAAGCTACAGTCAGTAGTTAATCATTTTCTGACTGGGGAGATGGCTCAGTGGCTAAAGCACTTGTCGTGTGAGTGTGAGGACCAGATGTCAGATCCTCAGCATCTACGTAAAAGCCAGGTGGACATAGTGACCTGCCTGTAAGTACAGCCTCAGAAGCGGGAGACAGGATCTCTAGAACAAGACTAGCCATATCACTGATCTCTGCGTTTGTCTAGGAAACCCTGACTCAATCAGTAAGGAGGAAGGAAAATTGCAGATAATTCCTGATATCACCTTTGGGTCTCCATGTATAAGTGTATACATACACACCCCCACACACGTGTGCTCACAAACATGCAATCTGCATACAGACACATGTGTGTGCTCACAAACATGCAATCTGCATACATGCATACCACACATACACATGACAATGTAAAAAAGGAAACAATGAATCATTTTAGTACATCCTGGCCTCATTCCTTCTGTCCATATAATATTCTGTTCTGTGGGCAATTTTTAGTTTGCAAAACCTCTGTTGGTGCATGCTCAACATTTTATCCAGATGTCCTTTGCACACAGGAAAATTTCATATATGCAAGAACTGTATTGCATACACCGTCATTATTAATATGATATAAAGAGCATGTGTGGTTTCAAATAGTCTAGCAGCTACATGCAAAAAAAAAAGAAACAAGTGAAATGTAATTCAAACAGACATTTAACCCATTATGTCTAAATGTTATTATTTCAATATTTGTTACTCAAATTTTAAAAAGTATGATAATGAGCAAATCACTGCTAGCGTGAAAATCATTCATCCTTTTTCAACAAATGAAAGCTTGTATTGTTTTTAAAACTCAAATAAAACCTTAAAATGAGTGGAATTTTAGCCTCTCAAGCCTGGAGGCAAATTCAGAAGAAGAAAAAAATGTGTGTCATATGCAATAACATCTCTGCTCGGATAAATGCAAGCCTCTGGAAGCTGATACCCTGAACACATCCTCCTGATTGTTTGTTAACCTATTTTCTTCTTACTTCTATCTCATACCAAAGTAACAGTTACATTGCCATAAAGAAAAAGAAAGCCCACCTTATGTGCAGCTTAATATACCGCTAAGCCATGTGCTTAGGTGATAAGGATGAGCTCGCTCTTCAGTATCCAAAGAGCTCTGAGCCTGTCGCTCCTACCTACAGCTCATCCTATCGAACAAACAAACTAAAGCTTGATTTTATGACTTCTTCCAAGAGCCAAAGTGCTTGAGCCCCGACGTTAGTGAGCTTGGTGTTTAGGTAGTCTAGAATAAATATCAAGAGTCACTTGGGCAGGGACAGCAATTCTGTTCACTGTATTGAAGTTTCCTCTGTTTCTACATAATACTTGTCCTGGTGCTCCTGTCTTCAGCCCTCCTGGTATCCGAGCTGTCTCCTTGTCAGGAAATCTCTGGACCTGTGCCTTTACCATTTGTAAACCCGATATCCCACAGCAGTTCGAGCTCATAAAGATTACAACAATCACCATTCCCGACACCAAGAGTGCACTTCCTACTGCCTCTTCCTGTATTCTGCACCTCGGTCAGCCGGCCCACCAGACACCCAAAGGTCCAACCTCTCCTGCCCCCTTTCCTTCCACATTCCAGCCATCACCATATCATACAGGTTTGCTTTGATTTGCTGAATTTCCTTCAGCCAGGTGTTACCTTTGCCTTAATTGTGTCTCCCTCCCTTGAAGTGATAATGTTTGACTCATCTAGCCTGTAGGCCTGCCTTTTCTACTACATGCTCCATGCTACACCAGACAGATCATTCTACAAAACAAACCCGGTCACATCCATCCAGTTTGGAACACACTTTGGTGGCCCCTCATCATGGGGCTAAATATTAATATTTATTAGACCTTACCCCTGCCGGAACAGTTTGTAGCAGCTCTCAAGGGCGCTGAAAACAAAGCAAAACAAACAACTGGTTGAGGGTTTTCTTTTATTCCTAAAGAAGTTTCCAGTGTTTCTTGGGTGAACATAGATTTTCAAGTGTCTTGGACAAAGTTATGAAACAATAGATGTTACTGAAATTTTAGGGGCAGAGTTTCTGA